GAACCCTTTGTACGAACAAAAAGTAAGAGAAATTTAGGATAAAAATACGAACATGTTCTTGCATGAGGCCCAATGTTTTGAGACATTTTGGAGCCTCCCTCATAAAAACCACTCACCAATCAGTCATAGTCCAGTCAGAAACAACTGTAAGAAACAAACTGCAGACCTTTTATCATGTAAGATTTGTGTCATCACAATCTAAATGAGATTGATTTGGTTTCACTTAACTAATAACCTTTTCCTCTATACACACTTATCATCTCTAAAACTTTAAAGCTACATGCATTTCTTGATTTGAATAGTTTTAAAGCGTAAATGATCATTAAATATCAAATTCAGACTATATCGTCTCAGCAACTGATTAAAAATACGCATGCATTTTTCTGGTATTTATGCTCACATGGGAGTGAATAATAATAAAAGCAGTCAGGAAAGTGTTGACAATCCAAATCTCAACACAGACACGACGTTTCAACCTGACTGCACAATCCTGCTTTGAGTGTGTCTGCGATGACCCACATTAGTCTGTCAGTGTCGCACAGAGGCGGTGTTCAAAATGGTGTTCTTGCTCAAGAAAAAAAAAATCTCTTTGAAGGCACATGTTGGGGGGAATCATGAGAGAGCCAGATTGGGGAGAAAAAGAGCTCATACTGTCATTATACTGCCAATTTATTTTCTAAAATAAAAACGAAAGCTCTGTCTCTCAGTCAAATCATTATGTGCACTGCTTTTCCATAGAACTGTTTATTTATTCTGTGTGTGTGTGTGTATGTGTGTGTGCCCATGATTTTGCTACTTGGTGGGGACAATTTTTCAGGAAAATGCAGCCTTGTGGGGACCAAAGCTTGGTCCTTACGAATTCAGAGGCTGATTTTGGGTGTGGGGGCTCGGTTCAGGACCAAGGTGTGAATTGTCTTTGGGTTAGTTTTAGGGTCAAGTAGGTACCTGTGAGGTTAATTTTATGATTTTTTAAATTATTAATTTTATTTCAAACAAGTAAAAAAATAAAAATAATAAAATAGTAAAATAAAACATACATGTAACAAATACAGGAGAAAACACAACAACAAATAAAATAATAAAGCATTAATTCCAACACAAAATTTCCAGCAAAATATAATGTAAAACATAACTCATGTTCGAAAAGGGAACAGGAAGAAGCAATAGCTTATCCAGTCCGGTTCCTAATAAGACTTCATACAAATTCTTAAACCAGTTACAGTTTACTCTATCATCTAAATCAGAACTTAATAAACATTAACACACAATTTAGAATTAGCACAGCATTTTATCACATTCATTTTATGAACATTATTTATATACTCCTTATATTTTCTCTTGAATAAATAAATAATAGATATTTTTAAAATTTAATAACAAATGGTCAGGCCTAGGCTATAATATTACCAAAAAATGAATGGAAGTCAATGGAAAGTCCCCACGAGGATAGAGAAACATGGTGTGCGTGTGTGTGTGTGTGTGTGCACTTGTTTTGACTGCAGAGTACGGACCATTTGCAACATCGTTACTATCAAAGTGAGGTCTTTGATGTAAAGTGAGGACCTCTT